GCTAACTGCTATTGCTAACTGCTATTGCTATGGGGTTCATGATTGGCGTGGCACACAAATACTGTGAAATATGCTAAGTGATTTGCTTTTGAATTAATGTGTTGTGAGAAACCCTGCCACCTGTGTCTTATTGCACAATTCACGCTTTTAATAAACCATGGTTTAGAAGAACGTCTAGTTGAACACCTATTTTGGTATCGGTCTCCAAACAAAGGCAAACATTGCTTTGGAAGTCTTTTTGATGCAAATCCATAAGCTTTTCAATGGGAAAGATGAAAAAGATGGATCTGTGCTGCCAACCATGAGCAAGTCAATAGAGGATGTGCTGAGTTTTAGAATTTGGAAAGAGCACCGGGAATCTTTTACCACAATCTAGTCCTCATAATATTGGGTCTCAGGACTCCGAGGGCCAACCCCCCCCCCCCAAAAAAAAAGAGAATATCTGAGTTGAAGCAAAATCAAAATCTCTTTAGATGAAACCTCTGGGACTTTAAGCTTGGATGTGATGACTGTACCAGTTAATTTTTCACACACCCTGCCTTCAATAAAGCAATCACATCTAGACTGAAAAACCCCACGGAGGGATGAAAGATGCAGAAAACTCTTCACTCCATAATTTTGCAGTGCAAGATTGGATGGCTCCCTTTTAAAACCACCTAGTATCTTTCCGCGATTCGAATTCTGTACTGACTGCCATCGTCCTTCCTGCCTGGGTCTGTATCATACTTACCTTAGCTGCATTTTAAAATACTTGTCTGACTTCTTTTCAAAAAGATATGTAGCATTGATGGTAACGTATGTAAAATAAGTTACATGTTAAGATTGAGATGTATATAGTTTCCCTTCAGTGAAGGATTGTAGCACTGTACTGAGCCTCATTTGGAAGATATTTATTTGTGTACAGTAACTGTTTGGGTAAGTGAGAGTGAAGGGATGGTTATTACAAAAGGCTTGCCGTCTCTCAAACTTTCCCAACTGCATTTTGTTTGAGGGGAGAAAGGAGACTGAGAAGTCTCACTCCATTCTCCTGATGGTGTAGTTGTATAACTAATGTATCAGCACAATTCGACGCGCAAAACTAAAAACCTCTTTCGAGTCAAGACGACACA